TTAGAGACAAAAAGAATCTCAGATATATGAGAATCAGATTTAAACCAGTCTGAATTCCTAAATATAAAGCTGATTTGACACTCAGAGAACTTTTCAAAGACTGGGAAAGAGCAAGAAAGCAGTGCTGCCTAACTATCTGAGGCAATAGCGCCGAGGTATCTGAGGCAGTAAGTTTAATGTTGGAAGATGAGAAGTTGAGGCTAAAGAACATAAAGGCTCAAGGGAAGCAGAACTGAGATTAAGGGATTTAGATGCTAGGAAAGACTGTTGAACCCTCTCGTGTCAAGGGATTAATTTGCAAGATGCTTGCAAAGCAACTGACAACATCGTGCTTTAGTCAGTTGGAGTGTTCTGTAGAGGAATTGCAGGATGACTCAGGGTCAGAAGAAATTCATGAAGTTTTTTTCTTTTCAGATAGCTCAAGGAAGAAGTGGAGAAAGCCACAGTCCTGAAATAGTGGTGTCTCAGGAATCTGAGCAGAAAGATAGAAAACAAGATAAAAAGATTTTTTTCCTAGTGAAATCCATGTAGGGTATTACTTTCTTCCTCAGGGTGAAGAAGTAGGGAAAAAAAATTCTTTAAAAGGCAAGACATCCAGGGTAAAGAAGGGAATCTGAATGAGAAGATTCTACTTTAGCTACAAGATGTAACCCTAGGCCCAAAAGAGAGGCAGGGCCAGGAGCTTCTCAAATCAAAGGTGGCCCATTCCCCAGGAGAAATAGCAGAAGGGAGTAGATCCTAAAGGAAAACCTACACACAGGGAGCTGGCTGCACACAGGAGGACTGAAGGTGTAGCTACCTGGGAAAGCCAGCATCTGCCAGGCCCTGGGTTTGAACTTTAGCAACACCCACACAGGCACACAAGAAACAAAAGAGAAATTATCAGAGGCCAGCGCTTTGAACTAAGCTCCTGCACTGCTCCTACCACATAAAGGTAAAAATCAAGATGATGTTATCCAACCTGCTAAGAATTACAATTAGAGATATAACAGGCTTTCCAAACTTGCTGAATTTAATGGCATGATAATGAAATTCCTTCTGCTTTAATCTTTATGCAAAGGAGAACCAGAAAAGATCTGATGTTCACTGATCAGTTATTTTCTTGTTGTTCTGTCTCCCTGCCCCACCTTACAAGGGGAGGAACTACAAGATGACCACTCACTCCATCAGCTTTTTGTTTTCTTATTCTCATTTTCTTTTAGCCCTTCTTTATCTATAAAGCCAACCTCCTTTGCTTGGACCTTTGGAACACTTATTGTATTTTCCAGAATGAAGTGTTGCCCAACCCTACAGTGCCTACAGTGAATGACGACACAAATGCCTGGGGGTTCCCTGGTGGAATGCTGGTCTGGGCAATATCCAAAATGATACGAGGGCAAGCTGCAGAAATAACCTGTTCATGTGAATATCTGCATTTTTAGATATATACATCAACAGATGCATTTTATTTAGAACTGTAAAGATATTTATCCACTATCACCAAGGTCACTGCTCAGGGGCAGGGAGAGAGGCCAGATGGGGGGGGTGCTTTCCTTGTTGACTCTTTATATCTTACTTGAATCTTTTACAAAGATAATAGGAAGAAAGACTAAGCAAATCTCCAAAGAAAGCACCAAAGCCAAATTCTAACATCTCCCCGTTCCCTTTCTGAAGTCCTTCCTCACTAATATGCTTGCTGTGGAGAAGAGAGAAAGGCTTTCATTTAATTAAAATGTAAAATTCTTTTTTTTTTTTAAACTGTCCATTGGCCAGGAATATTCTGCTGACTCAACACTGAATAATCAGCTTTGACCTAAATAATAGAATAACTCAAAGCAGCGGCTGCATTTCCCTAAGCGTGATCCAGATCTGCCGCACCTTCCCCCTCTCTCTTCTCTCCTCACTCGTTCCAGGCTCCCGCCAGCCAAGCCAGTTATAGCAGGTTCTTTCTGCCTTTCCACTCCCACCATCTGGCTCATCCCAATTTCATTTCTCCTCCAGTTTCTTCTGAATGGGCCCCAGCACAGAGCTAGACTTGATCTCATCTCCTTCCTCACAGCCTTGTCCTGGAGCTGGGCCACACCCTCTCTCCCTGTGGGGCTCAGTGCCTGTCCTCTGGGCCTCTGTGGAATACCCTGGCGGCGTCTCCACTGAGGGTGGCTTTTCCCCATTGCTCAGGGAATAAGCCCATCATCATCAATAAGCCAAAAAGAGATAGAGGGAGAAAAAGATTTCCTGTGGAAGCACACTTGTGTCCCACCACAGTCCTTTCCTGCGTGTGTTGTGCGCTGTGCCCGTGTGTGAGTGTGTGGGTGTCCCTACATGGACATGTGCACCTTGCCGGGCTGCAGCTCCAAGTTGCCTTCAAGCCAGAGGAAAAGGACATGGTTGAGTGTGAAGTGTGGAGCTGTTTTCCATTTCCTCTATGCAACAGGGAGGAAAAAGGACGAGTTTAGTAATTTTTTTGCTTATGAAGGTAGAAAAATGCATAAGCTTGTATCTCAAGGACACTGAAAAACAGTTGTCTTTGGAGGCAGCACTGACTTCTGTCACATTGGAGGCAGTTGCCTTGCGGTTCTATGGAGGAGGCAGAGGAGAAGCCAGGTGTCCTTTATGGACTCTTCCCTGCCAAGAAAGAAACAGGAGCACGCCATTTTGTCTTGTGCACAGATTGTGAGTTTCTTGCTGGCTCGGGGCTGGCAGTGGAGGTGAGGGCAGGCTGTGGAGGGGACTGTGAGCAGGCCCTTTTCTCGAGCTGGCTGCTGGCAGGCGCCACCCTTGTTTCCTGAGAGGGCTGGGCCAGGTCTGGTGTGGGGGGGCCACAGGGCCTCCACTACTCCAGAGGGGCTTTGCGCAAGGGGTCAAGCCCAGGGCAGGTTTGGGGACTACAAAGGCGCTCCACACCAGCCCAGGAGGCACTGAACATCCTCAGAGCTGTTGCTTCCCAGTGGGAGGGTAAGGGTGACCTCTTATTTGAGACACTTCAGCAGCATCAGCAGGAAAAAGGAAACTCTGCACAAGACACAGAAACAGCAGTGGCCAGCATTCATGTGGTTCTCCTTCCTCTCCTGTTTGTCTGGTGGTAGAAACAACAACTTTTCCTGCTTTCCCACACCCCCTTTCTTCTCTCCTCATAGCTCTGGTTCTTTCTCTTCTTCTTCTTCTTCTTCTTCTTCTTCTTCTTCTTCTTCTTCTTCTTCTTCTTCTTCTTCTTCTTCTTCTTC